GGGGACAGGGCCACCCTTGCAGGGGACCCAGGACCTGACCCCTCCTCTGCTTCTCAGCAGCCAAGAGGCAAGCGGTTTCCTCAGCCTTGAGCTTCCTGCTGTGATTCACTTCCCACCTCAGGCCCAAAAGCACCAGGGTCACTGGCAACAGAAAGCTCCTAAACCGGGAGCTGAAGTAACCCTCTCCACCTAAAAGTTGATCATCCCAGGTGTTTGTCACAGTGAAAGGGCAGCTCTTCCCCATTTGGTTTAGAAGTGGCTGCGAAAGCCCCACAGGCCTGAGGGTGGCCGTGATAGTGATACCGTGTCCTCACACCCTCCCCCACATGGTCCTTGCCCACTTCCCTTGTTTTTACCTTTCCTGCTCTGCTGAGAGATGTCCCTGCTGCCATCCACAACCCTAGCTCCTTCCTGATGTAAGAGTCAGAAAGGATCCCACTACCTTGGCATCATTATTCTTGGCAGTTCTTGGGTTTCTCTCATCCCCAGTAAGTGACTGAGGTTGAAATATCCCATCTGCTTGAGGGTGTGCTTCAGAAAGGCAGATTAAGGTTCCAGGTGAGGACAGGGGTGAGCTGTTCCCACAGCACAAGGCTGGTCCTTGCCTCCCCATCTGCCAAGATCAACTCCCTCGATTTGGCATTTTGGAGCCAATATGTTCTTCTGGAGCAGGAATTAAAACCTGGCATCACAGGCAGTAGCTGGTTACCTGAGGCAAAGTAAAGACGAAGGAGAAAGAGCCAGCAAACCCACCACCATATAGCAGAAATAGAGAAAGCAGAGAGGGAGCAAGTTGTACTGGGTGTAGAGACATAGATGGATGATAAATAGATAGATAGATGGATGATAGATAGATAGATAATAGGATAAATAAATAGATACAATAGATTGGATGGATAGATATAATACATACAATGGATAGATGGTAGGTTAGATGGATAGACAGATAGATAGGAAGGATGGGATGGATAGATAGATGATAGATAGATGCAAACTTATATGTGTGCATGTTATTCTAAACCTGATCACTGAGATCACTGGACCTGCTGTTGTGAAAAATAGTTCCAAAATAATCACATGGCGCCTGTGAGGGATTTACTCCCCTGTCCATGGTGGTGGCCACCCTGGGAGCATACTCCACACCCACAGGTGGTGCCCTGCTCCAGGACACCCCAAGCACAGCCTCAGTGGGCCAGCAAATGCAGAGACCCCTGCACACCCCAGCAGGCAAGTCCCTGGTGCTCCAATGTGAGACTAGCCTGGGGTGACTCCCCAGGGAGCCCTGGTGGCTCCACATGCAGTTTTGCCTGTTTAGGGAGCAGAGTAACAGGTTGCTTGACTCATCCTCCAGATTTTGAATCACTGAAGCTCAAGTTTTAATTTTCATCTTGCTTTTTATTTTTGCAGTGCTGTCAGACAAGTGCCCCACTACTGAGGCACACACTGGCCTGAAACTCAGGTTCTCAAATCCAGAAGGCGCATATGTGTGATTCCAATTTAAGGCTGTTTGTCCCTCCATTTGTATGGTGGGGCCAGGGGACTGTCCTTGTGTCCATGCTTGCCAGTACCACAGATATGACATCATCCTCCCCAGCTGTGACTCTAGCCACACACTGTTCTCCATCTGGAGCCTAGGACCAGGTGCTGGTTGCAGCCTCTGCTCTGCTTTCTGCTGTCCTGATCTGGAGCTGGTCAGGGATGTCCCTTGGCTTTCCTAGCATACAGTCATGAGGATAGTTCTGAAAGACTGGCTCATGGTACAGAGGGAGGCAGCAACTGCACTGGAGCTACTTAGAAACCTGTTATGCTTAGATCTAAAATGCTTCATCCCCAGTCTCATAGGTTCAGAGGTTGGGCTTCTGGAAGACCCTTGGATTATAAGGGTGGTAAACTCATCAATAGATCAATCCACCAATGAGTTCATAGCTGAACAGGCAATACAAGGTGAGACCCAGTTGGATGAGATGGGTTACTGAGGTGTGCCTTTGAAGGGCACATCCTGTCCCTGACCCTTCTCCCCACTTCTGACTTCTCCTCTCACTCAGTTTCCTGGCTACCACGAGGTGAGCAGTTTCCCTCCACTATGGTGTTTCTGCCTTGGAGTCAGTTAACTGTAGACTAAACCCTCTGAAACTGTGTATCAAAACTGTAGATGTCAGGTATTTGGTCCCAGTGATAAAAAAGCTGACCAATACAAAAAAATTTGTTCCAGGAGTAGTGTCATTGCTGTGACTACACCTGTAGATCATGTAGTTCAGAAGCCTTTGGAACAGGCTCATGGGAGGAGTTTGGGACATTCTGGAGAACTTGGCTGGAGAAAACCTACAAAGCTGTAAGCAGAGCCTGATGACTGATTCTGGTGGGAATTCAGATGACTTTCAGGCTGATAGGAACACAGACAGTAAAGACTGCCTTCATGAAGTTTCAAATGGGAATGAGCACTCTATTGGGAAGTGAACTAGAGGCCATGTGCATAACATTCTGGCAAAGAACTTTTCTATGTATCATTTATGCCCTAAAACTCTGTGTGAGGTTGAGTTTAAAAGTAATGGACTCAGTTATCTGGTGGAGGAAATTGGAAGACAGCACAGTGGCTGTGGCAATGGTATTGTGGCTTAACTTTTATGTATTTGGAGCAAAAAGCAGAGGAGAAAGATCTGAAAAACTTGCAGTTTGGCCAGAAAAAAGATGTGTGTAAAATTGCAGTCAAAGAAAGTGTGGCTGCTAAAGACATTAGTGCCATTAAAAAGAAGCTGGGTACTTTCCACTAAGACTATAGGAAAGGCTTGAATGTATCTCAGAAATTGGCCAAACCCTACCCTGGTATAAAAGGGTAAATACCATTGAAAGATTTTGCTTTGAGAAGGGCCCCAGGCATCCTGGTCACTCAGCATACCTAGGGAAGCCTATCCCCTAGTCCAGCCATCCAAAAACTCAGAGCCTATTGTGACTGGGGTCCAAGTAGACCTGGCTATTGCTTGAGCTGGTGGCAGAACTTGGTGTCATCTATGTGATGCTGGTCTCATAGGTGTACAGAACACAAGAGTTATGGTGTCATGGACACTAATTTCAAAGGAAGGCCCCAGAGGCCAGGTTATGTGTGACAAGGGTCAGAGTCCCTGCCGTGAACCCTGGAAAGAGTGATGCTTGAAGCCATGGGAGGGAAGTTGAAGCTGCAGTGGAAACTCCAGGAAGTTGGAGGTGCCATGAATGTGGAGCATCTATCAAGGAAACCTTCAGGCAATGAGTGGAGTCAGGTCAAGAGAGGTCAGGTGGGCTGCAACCAGCAAGACCATAGAGGTAGAGCTGCCCACACCCTCAGGAGTTAACATGTGACCACCATATGACCCAACTGCTGGTCATGGGGCTACAGGACTTAAGGACTTACCCTCCTGGATTTGGGTCTTTAGCCTACTCCTTTCTATTCCCCTATTCCTCCCTTTTGGAATGGGAATGTTTACCCTGTACCATTGTACTTTGAGATTATGAAACTTGTTTTTTATTTTTACAAAGGTCCACAGCTAAGAGTTTGCCTTGAGTGTCAAAAGAAGCTTGAACTTGGACTTTTGAAAAATGCTGAAACTGTTGAAATTTTGGGGGAAGGGGTTGTTAAACTTCTGATAACAGGCAGGGTAGTTGTGTTATATTAAGCAGAATTACAAACTTACTATTGTCTGTATTTGAAAATTGAGTATAGTTTAAGGAGATGTATCTGGGTATGAAGCTGAGCAGGAGTGGGATGTGGTGCTTAGGGAGGAGTGTCACCTTGATTGGCTTTGGGATCTGCCCTGGGGATTGCTGGAGCACACATCTAGGTGTGTTTGGGTGGGTCATGAAGGCCTGGCCTTGGGATCTGTCTGGTCCCTTGTGCCTTCCTCTCTAACACTGATGCCCCAGAACTAGATGCCACTGATGCCACAAACTAAGTATCTTTGCTCTGTCACACATTTGGCCATGATGCTTCTGCCTTGGAGCCAGCTAACCATGGACTGAATCCTCTGGAACTGTGAGCCAAACTAAACCTCTCTTCACTTAAGTTGTGGGTTTTGGGTATTGTGTTGCATCAAAGGGAAAACTGACTACTACACTATGCCATTGTATCTCTGAAATATGTATTTTGCTTTTTTATTTTTATAGCCACTCATAGCTAAGAGTTGCTTTGAGTTTCAGAAGAGACTTTGGACTCAGACTTTTGAGAAACACTGGAACTGTTGACAGTTTAGCAACTCTTAGAGATGGATTGAGTGCATGTTGACATAATGAGATGAACATGTGCCTTTGGGGGCCTGGAGTGGAATGTTGTGGCTTACATCTAAAATGTTCCCCAAAAGTCTCAAGTGTTCAGACGTGGGATTTTTGGAAGGTAGTTGGATCATGAGGGCACTATACTCATCAGAGCCAGCATATAACAGACGTTGGCTTATCCCAGGCTTCAGTCAGGTTGCGTAAAACTTGAGTTATTACATCAATGTTTAGTATATAGATGCAAATTACAAAGTACATACTTTCTGAGTCCATAAAAATACAGTGTGGATTACGTTTTCCTGGACCAATTGACAAGGAATAAATGACACATATGAATATCCTCTCTCTGCTCCAGTGTCCCTAGGCTACCCCAGGGATGGGTCCAGGACGCCCTGCAGAGAGACCAAAATCCCTGGATGCTTAAGTGCCTTATGTAAAATGGCATGGTATTTGCATAAAAGTTATGTCACCTTGTTGTGTACTCTAAAGCCTCTCTAGAGTATTTATAATACCTTATATGTTGTAGATATTGTGTAAGCAGTTATTGTATCATTGAGAGAATGACAAGGAAAACAGCCTGTAGATGATCAGTTCAGTTGGTTTCTCTGAATATCTCCTATCCTCTTTGGCTGAATCCATGGATGTGAAATCACCTAGCAGTGTGTTGATTTCTACCTGTCCAGTTTACACATTGGCCCTGCTCAGCACAGCTGAGAAAGACTAACCCCATCCTCTTTCTCTCCTGCCTGCTCCAGGCTGCAGAGTATGCACACAGGAAGCAGTGGACACAGTCTGTACCCACAGAGGGATATGACCGTGATTGATGAATTGCAGCCTCCAGCTGCTGAACCCAGTGGAAACGGCTCTTCCTGACCAACCCGACTCCCAGGAGATCCACGGACATCTGAGAGGACAATGCAGCCAGTGGACAGACAGCGGGAACTCCCCAAGCGCTGAAGGGTGGCCCTGCAACCCTCTCCATTCCTACCCTCAGGCAGTCCCCACAATGGCCTGCAATAGCACCACCTTCCAGCCCTATGAGCACCTGAAGCTGAACGTGAGCAACGCCTCGGACTTGGGGGCCACGACACTGTCTGCCCCACTCAGGATCTCCCTGGCCATCCTGATGCTATTGATGATGGTAGTGGGCTTCCTGGGCAACACAGTGGTCTGCGTCATTGTGTACCAGAGGCCAGCTATGCGCTCCGCCATCAACCTGCTGCTGGCCACCCTGGCCTTCTGTGACATCATGCTGTCCCTGTGCTGCATGCCCTTCACTGCCGTCACCCTCATCACTGTCCACTGGCACTTCGGGGACCACTTCTGCAGGCTCTCAGCCACGCTGTACTGGCTCTTTGTGCTGGAGGGCGTGGCCATCCTGGTCATCATCAGTGTGGACCGCTTCCTCATCATTGTCCAGCGCCAGGACAGGCTGACCCCACACAGGGCCAAGGGCATCATTGCCGTGTCCTGGGCGCTGTCCTTCTGCATCGCTGTCCCCTCGCTATGGGGCTGGACAGTGGTGGAGGTGCCTGCTCGTGCCCCACAGTGCGTGCTGGGCTACACCGAGCTCCCGGCTGACCGCGCCTACGTGGTGACACTAGTGGTGGCTGTGTTCTTTGTGCCCTTCGGTGTCATGCTCTGCTCCTACCTGTGCATCCTCAACACAGTGCGTAAGAACGCAGTGCGTGTGCACAACCAGTCAGACAGCCTGGACCTGAGACAGCTGACCCGGGCTGGCCTGAGGCGGCTGCAGCGGCAGCAGCAGGTCAGCTTGGACTTGAGCTTCAAAACCAAGGCCTTCACCACCATCCTCATCCTCTTCGTGGGCTTCTCGCTCTGCTGGCTGCCACACTCTGTCTACAGCCTGCTTTCTGTGTTCAGCAGGAGCTTCTACTACAGCTCCTCCTTCTACACTGCCAGCGCCTGTGTCCTGTGGCTCAGTTACCTCAAGTCGGCCTTCAACCCCATCGTCTACTGCTGGAGGATCAAGAAGTTCCGTGAGGCCTGCATTGAGCTGCTGCCACAGACCTTCCACATCCTCCCCAGAGTGCCTGAGCGTATCCAGCGGCGGATCCAGCCAAGCACAGTCTATGTGTGCGCCGAGAACCAGTCTGCAGTCTAGGGCATGGGGCTTCCTGCAGCCTGAGTCTTCGTCTATGTTTTGTGGTGCCTGTTTAAGCACAAAAGTACTCATGTGTCACCTGACGGGCTCTGGTACCCAAAGTTCAAATTCTGGCAAGGTGAATTCATTTTGTTTCTCATTGCAGAAGAACCATGGCTGGTCTGGTGGGAGCTGCAAGGTCATCAGGAACATGGGGAGAGGGCTATGGGTGGGCAAAAAGCTAGGAAAGGGCAAAAGGGAGGTGGGCAGGGGAGGGTGCTGCTCGTGGTGTCCATGGAGCCCCTCACACCCCCTATGCCAGTTTCTGACCCCGGACACCCATGGAGGGTTCAGCCATGTCCTGGGCCATCATTCATTCCATTTGTCACCAGCATTCTTCCGAGTTACTTAAGGTTGTGAGGTCTGAGGTTTCACACAGGACTGTTTACATTGGTCAGATGATCGTTCCTGACAGTGCCAAACTACCTTTCCTAAAAAAGGAACACTGGGAAGCAGAAGGGGGGAGCCCTGCACTTCAGGCCCTGGTGTGACATGGAGCCTGGAGTGGCTCCACATGTGGAAGGTGCTCTGGCAGCTCAGCTGCAATGAGAAGGCTTCCTGAGCACTCGCCTGGTCCGTCACCTGGCCATGCCCATCCCTCTGCTCTCTGCTGCTCCCATCCTTCCCAGCATTCTGGACACCATACCCTGGGACTCACCCACGAGCAAGTGTCCACAGTGACTCGCTCTGTTTACATGTTTCTTTGCACACCCCGGGGGCTCTAGAGCCTTGGAGATGGCCGAATCCATACCAGCAAGGGTACTGCTGCAGGGGCAGGACAAATAGAGCCCATGGGCTGGGCGGCCCCAGGTCCCCATGGTCTCTGCTTCTCCTACCTCACTTACACCCACTGCTGGCTACTGTGGGGCCCCGTATGGGTTGGGATCCAGGAGTGCAGCTGCCCAGAGGGTACCTTTCTTGAGTTCTACACTCAGCCACCCATTGCCACTGCAAGCTTCTCATTCTGGGTGGTGACCCCTTGAGCTCTCTGCCCAGAGTCAGGTCTGAAGAAGGTGAGACATAAAGGAGAAGCCCAGAGAATGCGGCACCAGGTCTGACTCCATCAGGAACTAGTTGGGGTGACCATGTTTTTTTCACCTCCTTTTTCTAGGTCTCAGTGTCCCTATTTGCCAAGCAAAGAAGCTAGTCTAGATGACCTCAAACTGATTCTAATATGGATTATTTTTTTTACCATCACCAGACCCCTGTGTTCATTTATTCATCCATGCATTGAGCATGTATTAAGCACCTTCTGGATGTAAGGCAATCTGGGGGCAAAGGAGGACTGGGGTGTGGACTGAGTCCAGGGGCAGCATCGAGAAGTCCATCCTGCTCCCCTACCTCTTTCTTTCCAGCTCCCCATTCTTACAGCTGTGGTGGTTGAGGACTGGTGGTGGAGGCAAGGAGGGTGGGAGACAAAGACAACATGATTTACCTTACTCTCCACCCAGGCAGGGCTCTCAGGAAGTAACTGATGCCATCCTCTATAGCCAAGATGGAGGAGGACCAAGATCTGTCCTATAATTCTTGTCCCAAGGGCCCTGGCAAAAGCAAGGTTTGCCTACAGCTCTTGGGGACCAGGTTCCAGTGCACAGCGGTGCCAGGAGTGTAGCCAGGCCCTGGGGGACCACACCTGGGCACTTCCCCTCCTGACAGCATTGCAGAGAATTGCTTCAGAAATCACAAAACTGAATGAATGAAGGTACCAAAATTTACATCAATCCATGTCTTGTGATCTACGTTGGACAGTATTATATATGTTTCAAAGTAATAATTTTGTATATATTTTAAATAAAGTATTATTGCCTTTTCGGTGTATAAGATCACATTCTTGCCAAAATTTGTACCAAGTCCATGAAGAATCCAGTGCCTAACACTCCTTTAACGGTTCACTCAGGCTGCTATAACAAAATGCCTTCAACCAGGTAAATTACAGCCAGCAGAAGGGTATCTGTCACCTCTCAGGAACCTGGGAAGGCCAAGGTCATGGCAGCTGCAAGTGTGATGCCTCAGGGCAGGGGCTGCTCCCATGTTCACAGGTGCTTCTGTGTTTACAGGTGGTGCTGTGCTCACCGAAGGGGCTCCCCTGAGCCTTCTCAAGGCCTGGTCACCTCCCAAACCCCATCCCTTAGTATGATGGTCTTGGGATTGGGTTGAGCTCGTGTATCTTGGGGAAACGCCAATACCCTCCCACAGCCACTCCTGAGACAAAAGGACTCCAGGAAGCCTAGATGTTATGAGTTACCAGCAAAGCCAGAAAGCCCAAAAGATGTCATAATGCAGGAACAACTGGAGACCAAGCGCAGGGTCACAACAAGGGGCCACATTTCATTTTGTTCCTTTTTGTCTCGGCCTGCTATGGAACTTGGGCAGTGAGCTGGTCAGTCTTCATGCCTGCCCACCGCCTGAATACTCTCTGTGATGCACCTGCATGACTTGGGCTTCCTGAGATGCCAGCTGGTGCCAGTTCCGGGTTAACTATGGCCCCAGCCACCTGGTACTTCACCCCAGGGTTTACCCAAACCCTGGGATCTGTGCGAAGTCAGGGGGCCTCACACCCAGCTTGTCCCTGTTGGGGCCAGGGGTACAGGTGGAGGACAGAAAGCTGCCATCATGGAGATACCCTGTCCTGCACACAGGCAGGCACCCAGGTTCTGGGAAGAGCCTCGAAAATGAGACACAAACAGGGCCACACGCTGGAGGGCTCTGGAATGGACCCTTGGCAGATAATATGATCTGCAGGTGCTCGGACCTTTAAAGTGGTGTGGTCTTTGCAGAACTCAGGCTCATCCTCTGGGACACTTTAAATCATCTCCGGATAACTTAGCCCTAAAACAGTGTAACTGTGGTCCAAACACCTGTCACTCTGCAGTGTAAGGCAACAACAGAGCCTGGACACATTCAGTACAAAGAAAATGATTCTTGAATAGTGTCTCCCATCCCTGCCTGGCTGAATCTGCAGATTCAGAACCAGAGAGAGCACAAAGAGGGCTGACGGTAACTCTTAGAGGTGTTGTGCTAATTCTAACAAACCCCCAAAACCTGCCACCTTTTTCCCTTGAATCATGGTCTCCATGGTTGGGACAAAATAAAAGCAAAGGTTCACTCCTGTGTTCTGAAAACCAAGACCAGTAGTGGAGGTCTAGATGGATTCCTTACTGCTCTGAGCCCTGGTGGCTCTTGCTACTCACAGCTCAAAATGCTCGCTGCTTGGGGCAGGAACCCTCCACACAGAGTGTGTCTGTCTTGCCCTGTGCCATGTGCCTTGCACCCCAGTCCTGCAGCTTTGGAGAGCCCAGGGGCCAGGCTCAAGGTCTTCTGCAAACTCAGTGATCTAGAGGGGCTACTTTGTGCTCTCATAGGGCAGTGCTGCACCCGCCTTCCTCGCCTTTGAAACAGTACAGTCCTCCCACCCAGAGCACCAAGGAAAGAATAAACTGAGGGCTGGGGTGTGGCTCAGTGGTGAGCACTTGCCTAGCATGCATGAGGCCCTAGGTTCCATCCCCAGCACTACAAAAAATTAAATAACACACAAACTCCTTCTGAAAGCCTGTGTCATCTGTTGGGGGCTGGGCATGGCTCACATGGGGCTCACATGAGGCTCACAAGGGTACAGCACTTGCCTCACATGTGTGAGGCGCTGGGTTCCATCCCTAGCACCACTACACATACAAGAAATAAAATAATGTATGTACAAGATTGCGCCCAAGGCTAGGCCCCCAGCAGATGCCGCAATTTTGAGGCAGTGATTACCACAGGTGTACCACTTAGCTGCATCACTGCCAGCATCTGTCCTCTCTGGGCAAGGGTGGAATTTGGAGTTTAATTTACTAGAAGAGTGCCCAGAACTTGGAGGAGCACTTTACTCTAACATAGACCTATTTATTAGAACGGACATTACTAGGTCTACAGGTGAGCAGCCCAGGGAGGAGACGGGCTGGGCGAGATGTAAGGGAAGGAGCACTGTGCTTACTGGCCTCTCCAGGGCCCACCCTCCTGGACCTCGCCTGTTCAGCTACCTGGAAGCTACTGAGGCCAATCCTTCAGGATCTATGGAGGCTTCAATGCATAGGCACAATGGATTGCTTCACTGGCTCTTGGTGATCAGCTCAATCGTTAGCTCCTCTCCCCTCCCTGGAGGCTGGAGAGGGGCTAAAAGACATCCTGTAATCTGGCCCTGGTCTTCTAGGGTATCATCCCAGTCCTGAAGCTACCTAGAGATCCAGCTACCAGGCCCCGGCTCCAGCACACAAGGGGTGCTTTTACTGTTCTAGAGAGTCCCTGTGTTTCAGGAGGTGTGTTCCAGGAGTAAGGGCAGAGACAACTATGTATTGATGAGGTAACAGTACCACCGTCCCTCTCCTCATCCTCGTGTGGCACTCAATCTCAGGCTGCAGTTGACAGAATGGACTGAAGCCAGGAGCATGAACAGGACTCCATGGGACAGACTGTGCTCACTAGCTCTGCTGTGCCCCACTCCACCCATAATCTGCTGGTTGGAATTGCCCATGGCAATAAAGAGAGGAGCTGGTGCACCCATGTGTGAACTCTACCTGGCCAGAAGAAGGAGCCACACACAGACTGTTCTTCTGTGGGCATCCTGGGTCATAGCATCTCTGTAAAGCCAGGAGGCAGGAAGGAGTGGGGCATCACTTGGATGAATGAGAACCAACACAAGAGTGACTGGACAGAGAGACGCTAGAATCCTACCGAAGCCAGGTGGATATTCTGCTCTACATGGCTGTCAGGACTGACTCCTCATTTGAGCTCAGTCACTTCTATGTTCCTATTCATGAAGGAGGACAGGTACAGAGGAGCAGGTCCTGCAAGACAACCCAAAAGATCCAAGCCAGCCATGGTCACATGACCATGCATAGCTGCAAAGGAGGCTGGGAGATGGGGATCACTAGTGTGCTTAGCCATAGCCAGCTCACACCAAAGAAAAGAGACTCAGTGGATCTCTGCAGTGTGCCAGCACCTCCCACAATTAAAAAACAAATAATAACAAGAGACCCTAGGACACATGGGAATTCTGTAGTCCTACATTCAAATTTCTTAAATGAGCCTTCACCAATGGTAACAAACATCTCCACTGCATCAGCCAAAGATGGCTGCCTCTCTTTTCACCTCCAGCCCTCACAGATAACAGTCTTAGGTCCAAAAGCAAAATATGCATGCATCTATGCCTCTCTAAGAGAAAAACTGCCACATTAAACCCTCCAGACCCCAAAGATGGAAGACATAAACACTAAACTGTTCAAAATTTGCAGCAGAAAAGGATGAATTTTGCCAAGACAAGAAAAAAAATGACTATTTGAAACAATAAGCCAGCAACATTGTCTGAGATAAAATCTGCCTGCAGACTTGATTATGGTAAGGAGAACAATTTCAAAGCCATGGCTGTGGAATGGTAGAGAGGTTGTCCATGGTAGTGTGGAGCAGAGTATGGACGAACTTGGTAACTTAACTCTGGAAGGAAAGGAAGGGCTTGGGGACACTGGCCAGGAGGCTGGCATCTGGATCCTGTAGGGAGGAAAGGAGGTTTGTAAGCAAAACCTTGGGGTGTGCTCTGCTCCGGGCAGCCATCCAAGTTTGCTTTAGCAGAGTCAGACTCCCTCTCTTCTCTGTGCTTCGTCCTGGAGGATGGAAAACAAGGAATTCCAGAAGCAGTGGAGGTCACAGAGAGCACCACAGCGGCAGCAGGGGATGTGAGCAGTGGCTGTGAGTGTGGGTTTCCCTCATCAGTCTGATGGGAACAGAAAGCGCTTATCTGCAGGCTAGGAGGGCTTAGCACTTAGAACTTGACCTTGCACATTTGCAAATCTGAGGTCGGATGTGTAGGCTCTGTGTAAACAGAGGCCCACAGGTAAATATCAGCATCCCTGCAGCCTCATTAATAACAAACCACTTGCCCTGGATCTTCGTGTCCTGTTGGGCTCTGGGCTACAGCCTCTAGTGGCTGCTGTCCCTTTGCCAGTAACTCAAGTCTAGGAAACAATGGCCATGCTCATTTGGGATTTTTTGAGAGAAAGGCTTGCTATTCCTTATGCATGGCCCTCCAGGGAATGTGCTTCTCATTTCTTCCCTCACTGAAATGCTGCTGCCCTCGTCCTGAGATTCAGGGATGCGTGGTGGCATCAGGAAGCCTCAGGGTGCCGTATGAGGGTTGCCAACTCCTCAGGAAAGACAGACAAGGCAGAACACTTTCAAAAATGCGAAAGCAATAGTGGAAAGTTAATTTGCTTTCATGGGTGAATGCAAATAAGAGAGAAGTGTTATCTGAAACTTGAGGCTTTTTCTCTCCAGGGCCTCCGAGGTCTCTGGGTTTGGATGGACCTGCACTACTAGCAAGCATTTTCCCCATGCAGAGGCCTGGGACCAGGATCCATCCTCCAAAATGACGCAGGAGGCTGTGGATGCCCTGATTCTCTCCATCCTGGTCTGGCCCCGCCAGGTGCCCTGGCTGCTTCCCACATCCTCCAGAGTCGACGCAGTGCAACGCTTTTGTCCCCTTCCTCTCGAAATCTCTGCTCTCCTTCCTGGGAGTCTCCTCCCACCCACATGTCTTCTTCACTCCCAGCCCTCCTCTCTGCTGTCCTGTTTCTGTCGCTGTAACAGGACACCTGAGATTGGGTAGTGTGTAAAGCAAAGTCTACGTGGCTCACGGTTCTGGAGGCTGGAGGCCCAACAGCAAGGCATCCTGTGGCTTCTGCTGATGGCTTCTGCAAGAGGACACACAAGGG